CACCCATGTCAGATGTTCAGGATGGAAGGGACTCAGATGCTCACATCATAATAAAAGAAAGAATCCATCCCACTCTCTCAGGTGTGGTGGAATTAAAATTAAATAACAAGCAGTAATCAAAATGATATTCCCAGTGTTGACTTTATCATTCAGCCGATGCCTATAACGCAGCAACGGATCAGACATTGTGGAGGAAGAGTTTATTTCTTCTTTCTGAAGGCTCCATCAGCTGGAGTTTTTGTCCTGCGACGTAGAGAGGAGACTTTGCTTCAAGGTAAGTTAGGACTGATCACAGTGGCTAACCCATGTCATCCTAGAACACTGGGGAGGCTAAGGCAGGAGGATCACTTGAGCCCAGGAGTTCAAGACCAGCCTGGGAAACAATGAGATGTATTCTGTTCAAAATTAAAAAAAAAATATTAGATGGTCATTTTGGTGCTTTCTCTTGACTACTCAGGAGACTGAGGCAGCAGAATCACTTGAGCCCAGGAGCTCAAGAAAGTGACCTGAGTTAGAACAGGACATTTGGACTTTTTCATTAAAATTGTATTTCAAATGTTGTAAAACTTCATAATCAGCATTTTATCCTTTTAGGAAGTGGAATCTGCTCAATTACAGAAAATATAAAAAATGCAGAGAAGCAGAAAGATGGTAAACACCTGTGTCCCCACTGGGAGGCTCAGGATGAATCTTTGCCTGGCAGAGCCTCAAAGATGTCAGTGAAAAGGGGCCCTGGAGTTGTGCTTTGCAGCTGCCCCCTGAGTTTCTACCCCTGGTTTCTGTGCATGTGGTGTCTGTGCAGGACGACTTAGTGTAGTCACACTGTATGAGTTATTTTGAATCTTGCTTTTTCAAACTTTATTATTATCAATAAGCAACTTTATATGTTATCACAAACTCTTCTTAAACAGTACTTTTCCTGGCTGTATACTATTTTCAAAAAATGATCTAGCTACTCTTGTTTTGCAAGTTCTTCTTCCTTATTGTAAATAGTATCTGATTAATATCCTTATACCTAAACAGTCTTCTATATTTTGGATTTCATTATAGAATTATAGATTTCTCAAATATGTCAATATTTGGTCAAAGTGCATGAACTTTTTTTTTGTTTTGCTTTTGAGACGGAGTCTCACTCTGTCACTGAGGCTGGAGTGCAGTGGCACAATTTCAGCTCACTGCAACCTCCACCTCCCAGGGTCAAGTCATTCTTGTGTCTCAGCCTCCCGAGTAGCTAGGATTACTGGCGTGCACCACCACACCTGGCTAATTTTTGTATTTTTAGAAAAGATGGGGTTTCGCCATATTGGTCAGGCTGGTCTCGAACTCCTGACCTCAGGTGATGCACCCGCCTCAGACACACATGTTATAAAATTGCTTCTCAAAAGCAGCATACCAATTATCTTCACCCATCATTCACCCCTTATTTGTCAAGTCCCTCCTCTGTACTGGGATGTTCTAGATACTGGGGATGCAAATGGTGACTGGACGAGGTCCTGGCCTCAAAGAATATGTTTCAGTGGTACAGACGACAACTTTCAAATTTATTCTAACATCAGTGATAATTGTTATGGAGAAAATATACCTGGGGTAGAAGATTGGTGGTGGTGAGGATGGCAGGAGATATATTTTGTTGGATAAGAGGTTCCTGAGAACTTGACTAAGGGACATTTGAGCAGAGAACTGAATGGCATGAGGAGTGAGCCATGTGGATCCCTGGGGAGCAGGTGCCTGTGGGAGTCCCAGCAGAAGCTGATGGCAGAGACAGGATGGAGCAGTGACAAGAGACTGGTGCGAGTGGAGATGAGTGAGCTGGGCTGAGGCTGGTGGGATGAGGCCACAATGGCCAGACAGGGCCTGTGATGAGGGGCTGATAGGAAATGGTGAGAGGAAGGGAAGAGGCTGGAGCATCTCTGGGACATGGTGTTGAGGATGCACTCTAATTCCCATTTGAAAAGTTCGCTCTGCCTGTTGTGTGGGTGATGGACAGCTGCATGAGAGGCCACAGGCAGCCCAGCTGGAAGGCCCCTCTGGTTTACTATCCTACAGATAGTAGGATAGTAAACCATCCTACAGATGGCTCTGGCGAGGAGGCAGTAGAGGAGTGAGAAATGATTGGATTTGGGGTTAATACGTTTTTCAGATGGTCTTAGCAGTTATTTAATAGAGAACCACACATTTATTTACCGAACTTCATTCCACAGTTGATTCCAGATGGCTTACTGCAACAACCAAATAAATATACATGTGTTATTTAAAAACCAACAGCTAGGAAAGTATAGACTTAAAATATTAAGGCTGGGGTAAAGCTAGAACACTACTAGGCAAGAAGGAACCTCTGAAACATTTGCCGAAATTGACTTTACTGTTTACCTAGCCATGGATTTGTTGGCTCACAATTTTATTGCATCAGGGAGCCACAGAGAAGGGTGACAGTGCAGGTCACCTGGCCCTTGTTTTTTACACTTACAGTCAGAGCAAATTATGTAACTGCAGTTTGTTCAAAAATGAAGACAACACCTAAAAAGTCAGAAAGTGAATGTACAAACCCCAGGGGTCTAAGGAGAGTCTGCATTTCTCCCCCAAAATGTCCTCACCCTGCGCTATTGAATGAAGAGGGTCCTTTCCACAGGCCCTAAGATGCAGGGGCAATTGGACTGCAGCCCTAGCTAGAGATGTCCTTTATACCTGCAGTTTCCTTATGCCTGGCAGCCAACTTCAGTGATCTCACCTGAGCTAGAAATTTGTTGTTTTGATATTGGTTCTATGTGAGCCTTTGTGTAGGCTTAAATCTGTGACATGGAAATTTTGCTATAATAGTTTTTCTTTGATGGAATTTGACATGCACCATGGCTCTGGCTTCCCTGTTGGTCCCCGGAGAGAATTTAGTGTCCTGCACTTTTTTTTCAAGATCCTTGTGTGTAAGAGGGATCAGGAGACTTGGAGTCAGGGAACCCTCCTATCTCAGCCTCCTCTCTAATGCTTTCCAGTGAGGGGGTCTTGCCTCTCTGCACATCTGATTAATATAATTGTCCCAGCTCCTGAACAAAAAGCACAGGTGCACATACCACTGACTACTGCATGCAGTGCCAAGGTGGGGAGGTTTCCTGGATGCCAGGTTTAGCACTTTGACTCCCATTCACACACACACACGCGCGCGTACAACACTCACACACAGATACACATGCTAACTCGTACACACAGGCACATACAGTTGCACACACATTCGCACACATATTTAGACTCATTCACACACACGAGCACACACGCACAGGCACACACTCACACACACACACACACACAGCCTGAAGGAGCATTGTGGGACAGGCTGACTTCAGGGGCGGAGTAACAGGAATGTCTCAGGTCCCTCTCGGTGGCCTTTGTCTCTTTTTCCTGGAGGTGGAGGAGTCTGTACTCCATGAGGGGACGTCCTCTGAAGAAGGGGGAGATACTCAGGAGCGGGGTCCAGAGATGGACAGGGATGGGGAAGTGGAAACAAAGCGGAGGGGGCGGGGCAAGAAGAGAGCACGCGAGGAATGGGGAGGGGGAGGACTTTCTAGCGGTCAGAAATATCACACGCAGAATTTGGTTCTTGGTTTTTGTGTTTTATTAAGATGGATTTAGTAAACCAGCCAGAATGCGAGATATGGAGTCTACATTGCAAAGGGCAAGTCTTCGTCTCCTCCTAGTTTGAATTCATCAGTAATAGCTGGGAGAAGGGTGCCAGAAGCCTTGTGTGGGGCTCGTAACACCCCTTTGCAGTGACCCCATTCTCTGCACCCCACGGATCTCTCCTTCAGGGACCATGTTGGTCCCTCCTTCCAACTGGAAGGAAAGGAAGGAGAAGTCTGAAGGCTTCGGATCCTCCCTAGCGCACCTTTTTCTCTGCCATTTATTCCCAGAGTGTCCTTGCCTCCACTCCGCTACCCCAACCTCGCTAAGACAAAGCACATCCTGCGCGTTCGGGTCAGAAATCCTCCTTTGGCCTCTGACTCACTGGTGTCATTTCATTGTGTACTGTCCTTCCAGCCATTGTCACTGGGTGAAGCCCCAGAGAGCTTGGAGCCCAAGAGAGCTGGATTCTTAGAGCGTCGCTGTCGGCACAAACATTCTTGAGATTTCTTCAGATCTGAAAGTCAGCCTGAGCTTTTAGACTTGCTTGGAAAGGCTTTGGTCCTTGGAAAAAGGAAATCAACACTCCAGGAACAAGATTTTCCTCGACTTTGTCTCAACCCAAAGACACTATAGCAGCGCAGTTTTCAAACGTGCTTTGAAAATAAATGGGACAGTCAGCGTGTCCCCACTGGATTTTGCGTTTCCCTTATTACAGCCCGCCCCTTTTGTAAAATGGTTACACATCTCTCTACTGCACTGAAAACAGCTCTATCAAAGATACTTTGAGAAAGATTCAATGACATGAAAATATGAAGTCCCCTTAAAAGTGAGTTTCTGGAGTTGGGTTTTAATTAACACTTTGGTTTTTAAAATCCTGTAACTATTTGGGTGTGCGGCTTACCTTTATAATATTTTCAAACAAATATTTTTCTTAACCACCATACAAATCCAAGTTTATTATTTTTATTTTAAATTTTTCTTTGTTTATTTTTGAGACAAGGTCTCTTTCTGTCATCCAGGCTAGAGTATAGTGGTCAGATCCTAGCTCACTGCAGCCTCGAACTCCTGGGCTCAAGGTATCCTTCAGCTTCTAGAGCTGATTACATGCCTGAGCCATCGTGCCTGGCTAAAATCCAAGTTTATACTGTAATATAAAATTTCAACATTTCAGAGAAAGTAAAAGTCACAAAGTTATCCCAGTCCCTGGGTTCCCTGTCCAAATTTTGGTGAGTAATCCTCCGGGTTTTCCCTACTTAAAATATATATTATGTAAGTGGCATTACTGGTATTATAATTCCATACATCTTATCCTTTTAAAAGTGGGTAAAAATAGGCTGGGCACAGATCTTCTCACTTAAAAGTTCATCTTCTTCTTTTTAACGACTGCATGGAATTTTATCGCATGGCTGTTCTTTAGGGTACTATGGAAATGTTATTAATCTTCATTGTGGCAGTGGATACGTGGGTGTGTAAAACAGCCAAAGAGTAAAACTCAATGAGCTGTACATTTCAAATAGATACATTTATTGCATGCAAAGTATGCCCCAATAACGGTTTAAAAATATTATCCTATTTGAGATTTGTACTTTGATTTTGTAAAACAAAACGAAACCCTTGTTCTTGTACCCAAGAGTCACACCCTGGCACATCTGGAGGTAGAAGCTCATGTTCTCTGTTACTTGACCTCGCAGCTTCTGAAATAAGAATCATAAGCCGTATATTTACAGATTCACAGAGGGAGAAAAAATGCTATGGCTAAAATGTTCATAACAAAACTAGAAAAAGGGCAAAAATAAAACTTAGAAATAATAAAACTACATCTTTTAAATATTATTCTCACCTTCACCTTTTCCCTCCCCTTTTCTCCCTCTCCCTTTCTTTCTTCAACACTCACGCCATCTTTCCCTCCTTTCTCCATTCTTTGCTCTTGACCCCCGCTGTATTCCAGCCTCACACAACACCAACACACTTCACCGCGTCTGTCTGGGGAAGGTCAGGGAAGGGACACGAGGCGGCGCTGTCACCGTATTCTGTGAGCCGCAGCGCCCTGGGCACCGCTGACCTTGTATCATTTCAGCGAACGTCGCTGTAGTCTTTGATGGGGCCACACTCGGGGTGTAAATTAGAATCCTCACTGAAGTGGCGGGACCCTGGGAGGCTTTTTCCTGGCCTCTTAGTTGTGAGTTTTCCTGCGGGCGGCAGAGCCCGTTTCCATCAGAACCGCCCAGAGGCGGGCGCTGCCTTCCGGGGGTGGCGGAGCAGCTGGAAGCGTTTATGGATGCTAGAATCCATGGGCGGCCCGTGGAAGGGGCTGAAGCTCATTTTCCTACTCACCCGGCTCCAAATCCTCCGCGGTGCTGTTTCAAGAGAGTCAGATTTCAGATCGCGCTCCAGCCGGTACTCGGAATTCCTGCCCCGCGGGTCTGCATTTCACAGCGGCAGGTGTGAGTGACCCGCAGCTGTACACCAGAAGCCTGAAGGCAGCTCCGCCCTCCCCAGCCCACAGAGCCGTTATTCAGTTTCTATATCAGTAAACACATTTCATTTTCCGTAGCCCAGGGCGGGGTGACGGGTGATGCCAGTCCTCGCAGTGAACTCCGGGCCCCAGACTTGAAAACGCATGCGGGCGCCCAGCGCAGCCCTGTCCTGAGTCAGCAAGCGACCGCGCTGGGCCGTTTCTCTTTCTTTTCCGGACCCAGCAGTGGCGCCTAAAGTCTATGAGGAGAAAATCGCCTGTGTGCTGGTAAGTCCAGGGATCTAAGGCGAGTGCTGAGGGAGAAAACGTAGCTGATGGGCCTGAAAAGAAGGGGCTGGAGGTTGGGTAGATGGGGAGGGCTTTGGACAGAAAAGACCTGGGAGGTTTGGCTGGGGAGGGCAGCCAGGCCTAGACCCTGGGGAGCGACTCATCCAAAGTCCAAGATCATCACGGCCTCCTCTACCCCAGAAAGGGAGGGACAGACTTGATGTCGCGATCACCTCTAAACGTGTTGGAACAAACTTTGCATATTATTATTATTATTGTCATTGAAGTATTAGAAGTCTTTTTGGGGGTGAGCTGAATGAGACCCTTTGCTGAAACTGGCACAGGGAGAAAAAGCCCTCGAGAGGGGGTAGACACTGTGGAGGGAAGGGCTTGGGACAAGTGTCAGGAGAGCTGGGTCCATCTCCCTCTCTACCCTCGCTACCCTTGTGACCTTTAGCAGTGTAAATAATCCCTCTAAGGTGGGGACAGGACCCCAGTCCCTGCTGTGCTCAATAAATTATGATGATTGAAATAAATAGTCAGTGAATGTGGATGGGAAAACTAAGTAGTTGTTAAAACTCTGTGATGTATGACATTTTCATCTACAGAAAAGTGCAGGCTGGGGTCTCGGGGAATGGTTAGTAATCATAGGTATAGTTCCGCTTAAAAAAATAATGTTCGTAAGGCTGATGAAGATGGAAGGGACACAGTTCCTGATCATGGATGGTTCACTGTCTAATGGGGGTTGGTACCAGATGGTAAATGACAGCTGGGTGTGGTTGCACTCGCCTGTAGTCCCAACTACTCAGGAGGCTGAGGTGGCAAGATTGCTCCAACCCAGGCATTGGAGGCTGATGTGAGCTGTGATCACACAACTGCACTCCAACTGGGTGACAGAGTGAGATCCCCCAGCCTCAGCACAAGATTTGACAAAGTGGAATCCCCAGCTCATTCTAAAAAAAACAAGGCAGGCTGAGTTGGTACCATCAGGGATGTTCAAACCATGGACTAGAATAATGGACTAGAATAGTGGTTCTAAAACTTGACTACACATTGGAACCACCCAGGGAGCTTTAAAAGATGCTAAGGCTTAGGTCTAACCTAGGCTTACTGATTCCATTGGTTTGGGCTGTGGCCTGGGACCGTGGATATTAAAACCTCTCCAGGTGGTTCTGTGAAGACAGGTTTGAGGACTCCTGGCTAGATACTCTGAACACAAAGAAGTGTGTGTTTGGGAGGAGGCAGTTCTCTCAATTGAAAGAGGCTTTCTGGACAGTGTTATTATTAGTGGGATACAATTCATGTGCCTCATAATTTACCAGTTTCAAGTGTACAGTTCAGTGGCTTTTAGCATAATCAGGTGGTTGTGCCATAGTCGCCATTATCTAATTGGGAAAACGTTTAACTTTTTTTTTTTTTTTTTTTTTTTTTTTTTTTTTTTTTTTAAGCCGTAGGAGTAGAGAAGGAACAAAGAAATCTATAATTGGTCGTGAACTTTCTATTTAGCATGTGGCCCCGCCCTCCCCGCTTATGATTGGTCCTAGGATCCAGGCGTCCACTTTCATTGGGTGAGTAGTCGCTGGGGTGGGGCTAGGTTACTGATGAAATTTCGCCAGGGCCTTCTTCCTCCACATCCCTGCTGAGTCCCCGCTGCTTCTTCTTTTTTTTTTTTTTTTTTTTTTTTTGAGATGGAGTCTCACTCTGTGCCCAGGCTGGAGTGCAGTGGTGCAATCTCAGCTCACTGCAAGTTCCGCCTCCCAGGTTCACACCATTCTCCTGCCTCAGCCTCCTGAGTAGCTGGGACTGCAGGTACTCGCCACCACACCCCGCTAATTTTTTGTATTTTCGGTAGAGACGGGGTTTCACCGTGTTGGCTAGGATGGTCTCGATCTCCTGACCTTGTGATCCGCCCGTCTTGGCCTCCCAAAGTGCTGGGATTACAGGCGTGAACCACCGCGCCTGGCCGAGTCCCCGCTTCTTGAGCCATTGTTAGGTTGGCAAAGTTGAGACGACGGAGCTGGGACCCGTCCTGCTATTCCTGGCAACACAGTGCCGGCACTGTAAGAACAGCTGAGCAGCCGCCACAGGTCCCACCCAGCCCTGCAACCCCTCTTTTTATTATTTGCTGACCCCGTAGTCATTTGAGTTTATGATCCTCGTTCTGATTTTCCTTATGTATCCCCCCTGCTTTGCTGCAGCCTTACTGAGGGCTAGCTTCTAAGAGTGACATCATTTCCATTTTAAAATTCCTGACCTCAGTACTTGTTAAAGGTGTACTCACAAATCTAATTATTCCCTGTCCCATGGGGACTTTTCTAAGCGGGTACATGTTAGACACCTGCTGTTTAGAAGGAATAGGGAAATTCTTAATGTCCTTCTTACATTGTTCCAATACTTTCTTTAAGTTTGTACAAGGATTTAAGGGAGCATTGGATTTAGCTCCTTCATGACTTCCAGATTTCTTTTCCTCCGACCTTCCTGTCCCTGATCTCCTTGTCCTCTGCTTTGTAAGATGTATGGGCCAGGGAGCAAGTGTTACGGGATCCCAGGTCTTTTCACTGGGTGAGGGCTCTTTACTAGGCCCTCCTCGCTAGTTCCCTAGGGGGAACACGGGGGTTAATTCACTAATCCAACAAACAGCGTAACCCTTCTCCTCTTGTGAGGACGGGGTTGTATCATTCACACAGAGAATTAAAGCTGGCATACCCAATCCTTATTTGAGCTAAACTTAGGCTCAAAGACCAAAGGCTGACTGATGGGCTCTTTAGGCCAGATAAAACAGCAATACTTTATTATTTTTTGTTTTTCCTTATTCCTGGTTCGGGGGTTATGCCACCAAGCCTGTAACATCCTCCTCAGTGGACTATCCGGGGGGATGCTGGAGGGGGCTTCCTTCCTTTGTTCCCTAGGCCTAGAATTTTTGCTTCCCATTTTCAACTGCTCCCTGTGTCTTAGTTTCCCTGTGTACTCAACCCCCCTTACTGGACGTCTCTTCGTACCCTGCAAATCAACTGCTTTTTTAGTCTCCGGCTGTTTCCCTCATGGGAGAATGGAACGGTGGTTTAGGACTCTGCCCTCGCTTCATATCTAGGATGTCTCAGTCACACACACTCAAACTCCGAAAATGTCCAACCTCCAAGACAGTGCGCATAGTCCAGTCTTCCTACCCGGGCTCATGCATGAGGTTGCCTGATTGTCGCAGTGCCTCCTTACCCCTCTCACCCGTGTCACTTTCGTTGTCTCCTGAATAACAGTTTCAAGTTTGTCTGTGGCTTCTGTGGGAACCCGGGACATCCGGACAGAATGGACCACATGTGTCAAGTGGTACACATATCCCCTTTCAGCCAGAGTCTCACTTCACACAAGCACAGAGAATCCCATACAGGCCACTAGATTTTGAGAAACAAACTCACTCATCCAAACCCAAAATATGGACTCAGAGACCCAGAGAACAGCAAAAGTGAGACTTTTAGTGACAGTTTTGCAATATCGGGTGTCTGGAATGCAGGCACCCCAGGGACGGTTTCAACAGTGAATTCCCTAGTGCTCAAGTCCCTCTCCCAGTTCCTCATTAGCTGAGTACTATGGGGTTACGATCTTCCTGGACATCATAAATTGGTACTTTGATTAAGACTTTGAGTATGTTCTTTAGGTCTTTTTGCTGCATTTTGTTGCAGCCCATAACACATTGCGATTGTCTCAGGACTCCTTAAACATTTGACTTACGGCCCTAACGGTTGCACCTAATTGATAAGAAAGGGTACAATTATCTATGCTGCAAGCTAGCCTAAACTAAATTTTTGGTGAGGTGGGGAGGGGGTTGTTGAGGTGGGGACCCCAACCGATAGGCACCTGGCTGGTGCATGAAAGGGAAAGCAAGAAGGAGAGGGGGTGATGGCTTAGTACATTTTGCTTCTTTATCTCTTTATGACCATGTACCCTGCTTAAACCTATACTGAGGCACATAGAATTGAACATGAACCATCACATGCAGGCTATTTTTTATACTCTTAGGTCCTTCCCAAGCCAGGGCTGAGCCAAGACAATCCACTGTCCAGCTGTGGCCTCCTCCTGCTGCAGGTGAGGGGTGGGCCGTAGGGAGGGCCGTGGCACCTGCTCTGTCCCCATCCCGCTCTCTCTGTCTCTCAGGCTGACCAGGGCGCATCCAGGTGGATGAGCTGGGAATCGCTTGCTGATTGCTGAGGGCCTGGATAATCACAATCTCAGAGGGAGCAAACAGTAAAGGCGGCTGTGATCTGGTGAGGGGTTAGAAACTGGAGAGAAATTGAGGACAGGCAGAGCCTCTAGTCCCTCCCTCTCTGCATCCCTCACCCATGTTTCTCCAGCCATCAGAAGGACACCAAGGAAAAGACCCACGAGGCTGACTGAGGGGTCCCTGCATGCGCAGTTCCCTTTGTGGCCTCCCTTGTACCAGGGAGGGTCCTGAGTGCACACGGCCGTCCTCTTCCACTTGGCAGCTCCCCATGCACCTCATCCGAGACCTCTTGTGTCCTCTGGGGCACTTGAGGCCGTGCTTTCTCCAGATTCCCACCATGTGGCCCCTGCCTCCCTGTGTTTTCTTGCAGATGATATGGACAAGGTGATAAGCGGATGTCCCTGGGCTATTTGGGGAGTGTGGACCAGCCCCCCGCCAGGGCAGCTGTGGTCCCTGTTTTCATCCTATGTCCAGGGGGTTGTTAGTTTTTCCAGCCCACGAGGGTCATAGTCCCCAGGGGCTGTGTTTTTTGGGCTTTGTTCTGTGTTCTGTGGCCTCACCTTGCCTTTCCTGAGTCAATTTTTTTCTTCTTAATGTAATCATTGCCTGGTAAGTTTAAAATAAGAGAGAGAATAATTTCCCCCATAGTCAGGTTGTTTGAGGGGTAAGGAAAAGAGAAAGTAGAAATTTTTGTTTCTGCAAAGACAGAGGCAGTGCAGGGGACAGGGAGAGGCTGGGGTGTCCAGGAAACCCGAGTGTTTCTGCCATTTCCCCATTTCTGTGTGCCTGGCCAGTGGGGTGGTGTTGTCTCATTCTTGAACCTAATGGCACTGTTAGTCAGTCCCTCAGGCCTGGGCAGATGGAATGGTTCGTCCCCTACCCTGCAGCAAGAGGGCCCCATCCAGGAGGTACTCACAGCACGGGGAGTGCAGGTCTATGGTTGCTCCTGCTCTCACCTGCAGAGTCTCCTGTAGAGGGATTGTCAGCTCTGGTTCCCTGTAGGCAGGAATGGTTTCCTCGTAGATCACTGGGACATTGGCCAGAAAAAGGGTATGAAAATCACATGTCAATTTCTCAAAATTCCTGCTTTAAATGTTGATATCCATCAACATAATTTCAGTTGGGACCGATACTGATGTAAAGCATGTTGAATAGAACAGGAACTCAAATTTAGAGCTTCCTTTCCCTGAGGGTCCATGTGGGAGATGATGGTTGTGGCAGTGGCAGTCCCCAGGTGCAGAGGGTGGGTGGAGGCAGCCTCAGGCTGAGGGGTCTGAAGAAACCCCCTACTCCACAAGGAAAAGGAGAAGATCCCCTGTGGGCTTCAATGGCAGTGACCTGGGTGGAATCCCTGCTAGGAACGTGGCAGGAAGGTCCTGTAGCCCCACTAAGCAGCAGCCCTGGGGTGGCACTGCATTTCCAGGGGTGAGTGGACAGGTAGGAGCAAGCACAGCCCACATGCAGGTTATGGGGAGGGGAAACTGGGCCTCCTTGAGCAAGGGAATCACCAGCATCACGTCAGGTGCAGACTCCATGGCAGCCACATATTTCCATACTGGGCCTGTGAGCCCCAGGGCTTCCTGATGGGGTCTCCAGTTAGGAGTTGTCTGCTTAGAGCTGGGAGGGGAGGAACAGTGAGCCACCTCTGGAGTGCAGAACCCACAATGTTCGGGATCTGCCCTGGTGCGCAGGTGCCTCTGCAGATGAGGAGGGCCTGGGGACTGAGTGGGGAGAAGGACGTGTGTGTGACCCAGCCCAGGTCTGGAGGGACATGGAGATAGGGCCAGGGCCTCTCTTTGGGGAGGCCTCCCACCGTGTCAGGGCTGGTCAGGCGTGAGAGGCGGGGAGGGCACTGAGTTTCCTCCTCAGTCTTGTTCCTGAGTCCTGGGGTCCTTTCACTCCCTGCGCGATGGGTGCTGGGCACAGAGCAGGTGCTGATGCTGATGGAGTCATGGCAGGGGACTGGCAGGGGCTGGGAAAAGTGCCATGGGAGGGAGAAAAAAGTGGGGACGTCATCTTCCCTCAGAGACAGGGTGAATCTAATTTTGGAGTGACTGAGGAGGGAGAAGTCCTCAGGGAATAAAAGCAGCGCCCTGCACCCAGTGGAACATTTACTGTTTTTCTCTTTTCTCCAGAGCATGGGAACCTACAGGCCTGGATCAACACCTGGTTGGGACAGGAGACCACCAGGGCAGTGCACAGCTGGGATTTCAGTCTCCCGTGTCATCTCCTGGGTCCACTGGCTCCACTGAGGGCGGCTAGACTCTGCAGCCAGGCAGCCTGGATTCAACTCCCTGCCTGGGTCTCACCAGCACTTTCCCTCTTGGTGCCTCAGTTTCCTCATCTATGAAATAGGGAAACTAACAGCATTTATTTATTGTGGTTGGATGAATGAAAAGGGTTAGTATATATGAGGTGTTTGCGGCTGTGCCATATTATTTTTGTTATTTTATTATATTTTGATATATTACATATGCTGTAATTGCATTATTATAGGTGACCTTTATGAGTGAGTGCCCTGGTGACGGCTCTTCCTGGGGAGCCCAGGACCAGCTTTCCTGGCACCTTGAGGTCCTATCACCCCTGTTACACTCTCATGCATTACCCCATTCTACTCTGTCTTCATATTTTATACTATAGATATTTAGTTCTTAAACAGACATTTCTGGTCTGTGTTTTAATTGAAGTGTCTGGGAAGGGATAGAGTGTGAGGTTCAGGAGAGAAGGAGAGGTCTGCCTTGATGCCTTGACACAGCACAAAGAAATCTCACCTCCTCCCCCACATCGCCCCGCCAGTTCTCATTGAGGGACAGATTGAGGGACATTGAGCAACTTATACAATTATAAGTTGGAAGAATGAGGGAAAAGAGAGACAGAGAGAGAGAGAGAGAGAGAGAAAGCTGAACTGGAATAGGTTAGGAGTTGTGTCCACTAGGAACCATAATTGATCTTTGCCATTTTGAAAGTGTGTCCCCTGAGCTGCCTTCATAGAGTCCTGGAGGGAAACCTGTTTTCACACAAATACCAAGATGCCATCTGCCTGTTTCATTATGTTGACTTTTCCATTAATGCTGTAAACGCCAAGGTAGGTAACACACCCAGCACCTTAGCAGAACCAAGGCAGTGGCTCCAAACTGCATTCCCACTTAAGAATCTTTTTGATGGAGAAGGAAAAAAATTTATGTTCATTAAATTTTAATCCTTGAGTACATGTCTTTAATATTTTTGTGAGAAAATGGGAAATATGCATAAAACACTTACTGCACAGAGAAGCAGGATGGTAGCCTTGAGAGAGGGCACTTGTGTGACTCAGTTATGAGTTCAACCAGCAGATCTCATTCACCCACAAAAAGACAATGGCATTATTTCCAGTTTGGGAGTATTATGAATAAAGCTGCAAGAGTATTTGTGTACAGGTATTTTGTGAATACAAAGTTTTCCCTTGTTTGAAATAAGTGCCTAGTAGGGCAATTGCTAGTCATAAGGTAAACTGCATGTTCAGTTTGAAGAAAACTGCAATATCCATTTCCAGAGTGGCTGTCCCATTTTAAAATACATTCCTACCGGCAATATAAGAGTGACCCAGTTTTTCTGCATCCTTGCCAGCATCTGTTGCTACCTTTATTTTGTATTTCAGCCATTCCTATCATTGTGGATTTAATTTGTGTTCTCTTACTGGATAATTATGTTGAGCGTCTATTCCTCTGCTTGTTAGCCCGGTGTTTATCCTCTTTAGTGAAACGTCTGATTGTGTCTTGCTCATTGCCTATTGTGTATTTGGATTTCATTTTTACTGTCGAGTTTTTAAATTTCTCCATATATTCTGAATACAGTCTTTACAGAATATGTTGTCTGTAAATATCTTCTCTCGTTCTGTAGCTTGTCTTTTTAGCTCTTCACAGGTTTCTCACAGAGCAACAGTTTTTAGTTTTGATAAGATCCAATTTGTTAATTTTTTCTTTGATGGATCATGCTTTTGGTGTTATGTCTAAGAACTGTTTGTCCAGTCTTAGTTCTGATCATTTTTTCTTAAAAGATTTGCAATTTTAAATTTTAAATTTATTTATTATTTATTTTTTAAAAAAATTTTGCCTAGGCTGGCCTTGAACTCCTGGGCTCAAGGGATCTTTCCACCTCAGCCTCCTGAGTAGTTGAGAATACAGACCTGTGAGACCACACCTGGTTCAATGTTTGCCATTTTAATTCTGTGCTTTACATTAAAGCTTGTGATTCATTTTGAGTTATTTTTTGTATAAAGTGTGAGGTTTGGGCTGAGGTTATTTTATTCCACTGTGTTTGTCCAGCTGCTCCAGCACCATTGATGGGAAAGCGCTCCTTCCTTCATTGAATTGCTTTTGTGCTTTTGTAAAAGTCAGTTGAGCATATTTGTGTGTTTTGCTCATTTTTAGTTGAGTTGCTTGTCTTCTTACATTGAATTTAATAACTTGTCACATATTCTGGATACAAGTTCTTCATCACAATTGTAATTTGTGATAAATTGTGAAATATTTTCTCCTAGTCTGTGGCTTGTCTTCTCATTTTCTCAATAATGTGTTTTGGAGCACTAAAGTTTTCAATTATTTTTTTTTTTTTTTTGAGGCAGAGTCTCACTCTATCACCCAGGCTGGAGTGCAGTGGCGCAATCTTGACTCGTTGCAAGCTCCACCTCCCAGGTTCACGCCATTCTCCTGCCTCAGCCTCCTGAGTAGCTGGGACTACAGGTGCCCGCCACCACACCAGGCTAATTTTTTGTATTTTTTAGTAGAGACGGGACTTCACCATGTTAGCCAGGATGGTCTCGATCTCCTAACCTCATGACCCACCTGCCCTGGCCTCCCAAAGTGCTGGGATTACAGGTGTGAGCCACTGGGCCAGGCCTAAAGTTTTAACTAAGCCCAACTTCTCTTTCTCTCTCTCTTTTTTTTTTTTTTTCATTTGTAGATCATGCTTTTGGTATTTTATCTAAGAATCTTTTACCTAACTACCCAAAGTCACAAAAATTTTCTCCTGTATTTTCTTTGAGAAATTTTATAGTTTTAAGTCATAAATGTTAGCTCTTTAGGGCTATAATTTGTTTGAGCTGATATTTTATATGGTGTTAAGTGTCACATTGTATTACCTATGCAACTTCATTGAAAATCAATTAAAAAAATGTAAAAATATCTTTCTAGATTCTCACTTCTGTTCATTGATCTCTATGTCTCTCAGTTTCACACTGTCTGGATTATTGTAGTTTTCTATGACATTTCATTTTTTTTTTTTTTCCAAATTTGTGTTGACTCTTCTTCATCCTCTGCATTTTCACATACATTTCTAGGATTATTTTGCCAATTTTCTATAAAATTTCTGCTGGGATTTTGATAGAGATTGTGTTGAAACCATAGATCTATTGTGGGAGAATTGCCATCTTAACAATATTATTGAGCTTTCCAACCGCATCTCTCCATTTATTTAGACCTTTAATTTCTCTCAGTAATGTTTTGTACTTCTCAGCGAACAAACACTGCTCTCTTCCTAAATTTATCCCCATTTTGCTCTGTTTGTAACTACTGTGATAGGAAAGTTGAGGTTGTCATTGCTTGTATAGAGAAATGAGTTCATAATTAATTTTTATATTGATTTTATATCCTATGGGTACTTCTGGATTCATTTGCTAGTGCTAGCAGACTTTTACCCGCTTGTGAATTCTACAGACAAGGTCATGTTATCTGTGAATGGAGTTTTATGTTTTCCTTTTTACCTGGATGACTGGATGACTTTACTTTTTCATTTTTTGCCTTATTGCACTGACTACAATCTCCAGTACAATGTTAAATAGAAGTGGTGGGATTGGACATCTTTGCACTGATCCCCATCTTAGAAGAAAAGCATTCAGTCTTTCTTCATTAAGCATGATTTTAGTTGTGGGTTTTTTATAGATTCCCTTTATCAGAGTGAGGAAGGTCCCTTCCATTCCTGTTTTGTTGAAACTTAAGAACACGAGTGCTGTTAACATTTTTGTCAGCTGTTTCTTCTGCACCTTTTGACATAATTATGTCTTTTATTACATTAATATGGTACATTCCATTAGTTGATTTCCAGTTGTTAATCCAACCTTATATTCCTGGGATGAATCTCATTGGTCATGGAGTGTAATCCTTTTTTACGTGGCGTTGTATTGTCTGCCTATGTTTGTTAAGGATGTTTTCATTTATGTTTATTGGTGATACTGGTCTCTGGTATTATTTTCTTGTGAGTCTTGCTCTGACTTTTATATTAGCAATGCCAGTTCTGTAAATGAGCTGGAAACTCTTGACTACTCTCTTCTCGTCTGAAAGAGCTTTTGGGCACTGCCACTGCCTGGGGTATAACAAAAACAGGACCTGGTCAGAGCCCACAGGAGATGTGGTTACAGGAGGAACTGTGGGCTGGGTGAGCTCCCACATATGCTCCCGACCACAATATCCCAAGGATCTCAGGGATCAGCCTCCTTCATACTTACTTGCAGCCTGAGAGTAGCTCCCTCCTTTTCTATCTGTGGGAAGAAAATGTCCTGTAAGAGACCAGAAAGGAGGCAGCGCCATGAGGTCCTAGAGGAACCTCCTAGTCTTGGAACTTAGAGAAGTTTCCAGAAATGTGTGACTGTAGACTTTGGGCAGGATGAGGAAACACGAAGAAAGCAGGTGTGGGTCCTGGACCAACTGCCCTCCTAAGATCTGTCCTCTACTACGACCTTCCTCCATGACCTGTGACTGCTGGGATCAGGTTCCCATCACCACAATCATCAAGGTGATAAATCTGTCCTTCATTGTCACAGGTGCTTTACAAAAGAGTAGGTGCTGGCACACAGGGCCCAGGCTGGGTCGGCCCATGAGTGTGGATGGTGCTTCCCAGTAACCAGGCGGGGCACATTTCTATCTGGGGCTTGAAACTCCCAGTGGGACAAGAAATCTCAGACTTATATAAGGTATTAAAGGCCAACTGCAAAGAACACCCTGCGAGGCTCTGTAGACGGATGAATTAAAATCTATAAAACAATGTGTTTAAACCTCAGAATTCCACAGCTTTTGAATTCTTCCCTCTGCTCCTTTTCCTCACCTCCTGCTTCTCCAGCCCTTCCCTCCGTCACTTTCATCCCTCAGGCCCTCCTCTCCCCTTAGTTATCACCACACTGTCACTCCTGAACTGTGGCTCTAGCACTGACCAATTACCTGCTACGTGACTCTTCTCTTCACAGTGGTCCTGATACTGTGAGTCAGCATGTGCAGCGTGTGTCATTCCTTCACCTAAAACACTCCAGTGGCTCCGTGTTGGTCTTGTGAGGCTTCTAGGTTGTCAGGTACGTGAACATACGAGGGCACACCTGGTTCATCGTAGGGACTAAATTAATTTTGTTAACTGACTGAATGAAATATGAGTGTATTAAATTGCATCACAGAAAATTATAAAATGTAAAACACTGAAAAAATTTAAAAATATTTTATTTTATGAAACTAGTGTGCATATGAATTCGTCAACTCATTCCATGAGTCTGCTGAGCCTGTGTATGAATTCTATAAGACTGGGTAACAAGTTATCACAAACATTGGCTTTAAACAACACCCATTTATTGTATTCATTGATTTATTTTTAAAGACAGAGTCTCCCTCTCTCATCCAGGGTGAAGTGCAGTCACATGATCATGGCTCACTGCAGCCTCAGACTTCTGGGCTCAAGGGACCCTCCTGCCTCAGTCTTCAGAGTAGCTAGGACTGCAGGCAAGTGCCATCATGCCCAGCTAATTAAAAAAAAACTTGTGGAGACCAGTGTCTCACTGTATTATCCTGGCTTGTCTCAAAGTCCTGGCTGCAAGTGGTCCTCCTGTGTCAGCTCCTCAAATGTTAGGATACAGGCGTGCACTACCACGCCTGGCCAAACAACACCCATTTATCTGCTTATAGTTCCTGAGTCAGAAATCTGGGCATGATGTGGACAGAATGTCTATTCTGGGCTTCCCAAGCTACATTTTCATTTTGAATCCTCCTTCAGGCTTATACAGAGGTGGCAGAATGCAGTTTCTGGCAGTTGTAAGACTGAGGTCCCTGTTCCTTGCTGGCGGACACTGTAGAGAACAGGGAGGGCTGCGCTCAATTCCTGGTGCCCACCAGTGTTCTTTCCTACACAGCCTCTTCATTTTCAAAGCCCACGGTGGAGGAAACCCCTCATGCTGAATCCCTCTCACCCTGTGAATCTCTACGCTCAGGAAGAACCTGGTCCTTTCAAGGGCTCACCTGATTAGGACAGTCCAAGCAGGATAAACCCAGTCTAAAGTCAACTAATTGAAGTGCTTAATTATATCTGCTAAATCCCTTCACAGCAGCACTTACATTTAGAGTTGGCTGAATCGCTGGAGGAAGGTGAATGACCAGGAGTTGGTTGTAGAGTCAGCCTAGCAAGGGTTGGGTCTTCCTTTTGTGTTTTATTGGGACACAGTTGGAAATTGAAGTTGTAGTAAAGTGATCATTGTGAACAGTAATAAAATACATCCTCTTCAGCCACGGACATTCTCCTTACCTTTTAAAACTAAGTTACATGTTTAATGTCTTATAATTAATTTAGGCAAGGTGTGGTGGCTCATGCCTGCCATCATAGTACTGTGAAAGGCAGAGGAAGGCAGATTTGTTGACTCCAGAAGTTCAAGATGAGCCTGGGCAACATGGCGAAACCCCCATTTCTACAAAAAATTAGAAAATTAACCAGGCGTGGTGGTTTATGCCTGTGGTCCCTGCTATTCAGGAGGCTGAGGTCAAAGGATCCATTGAGCTCAGGAGGTCAACACTACAGTGCATGGTGATCATGCCACTGCCCTCCAGCCTGGGTGACAGAGTGAGACCCTGTCTCAGTAATAATAATAAATAAATAAATTTGGAGCAAATGCAAATTACCATGTAAGAATACATCCTGTCTTGTGAAAATGTATTAGTTATTTACTATTGCATAACAAATTATGTAAAACTTAGTGGCTCAATACAGCAAATATTCATCATCTCCCACAGTTTCCAATGGTCAGGAATCCAGGAGAAGTTTCCCTGAGTGCTTCTGGCTCAGGGCCTCTCACAAGGTTGCAGTCCGGTTGTCAGCCTAGGCCTGCATCATCGAAGGGCTTCACTGAGGATTCACATGAAACATGGCTCAGTCACATGGCTGTTGGAAAAGGCCTAGTTCCTTGTTGTCTGGTCCCAGAAGTCTGCAGTTCTTAGCCACATGGACCTTCCTTCAGGGCTGCTTACAGCACAGCAGCTGGCTTCCCCCAGAGCTCATGATCCCAGAGAGAGAGAGAGAGAGAGAAGGGGGAAACCACAGTGTGTTTTATTTTCTACCCCCAGAGTCACAAACTGTTATGTCAGCATTACTCTATCAGTTAGAAGTTGTATTAGTCCATTCTCACACTGCTATAAAGAAATAACTGAGACTGCATAATTTATAAAGGAGATTTAATTGACACACTTCTGCATGGCTGAGGAGGCTGTCCCAGAAAATTTACAATCATGTCAGAAGTGGAAGCAAACACATCCTTCTTCACATGGTGGCAGGAGAGAGAAATGCAGAGCAAAGTGGAGAAAAGCCCCTTATAAAACCATCAGATCTCATGAGAACTCACTCACTATCATGAGAACAGCATGGGGGAACCATCCCCATGATCCAATCACCTCCCATGAGGTCTTTTCCCCAATACCTGGGGGATTGCAATTCCCATGAGAATTCAAGATGAGATTTGCGTGGGAACACAGAACTGGGCCATATCAGAAGTGCGTCTTTAAGTCCAAGCCACACTCAAGAGAGGGAATTAAGCTGCATCTCTGGAAGGGAGCAGTATTAAAGGATTTGCATATATGTTAAAAACAAAATTGAAACTATTGTTTCAGTATTTCATAAATCAAAGGCTTCTTTTATCTAATTTTTTTTTTTAATGCTTTAAGCTTGTCTTTTAATTAAATTTAATTTTATTTCAAGTTCCCGGGTACATGTGCAGGATGTGCAGGTTTGTTACATAGGTAAACGTGTGCCATGGTGGTTTACTGCACTTATCAACCCATCACCTAGGTACTAACCCTGGCACGCATTAGCTATTTTTCCTAATGCTCCCCCACCACTGCCCTCCCCCAACAGGCCCCAGTGTGTGCCATTCCTCTCCCTGTGTCCATGTGTTCTCATTGCTCAGCTCCCAGTTATAAGTGAGAACATCGGTGTTTGGTTGTCTGTTCCTGTGTTAGTTTGCTGAGGATAATGGCTTCCAGCTTCATCCATATCCCTACAAAGGACACTGTCTCACTCATTTTTATGGCTGTATAATATTCCATAGTGTATATGAACCACATTTTCTTTATCCTGTCCATCATTGATGGGCATTTGGGTTGATTCCATGTCTTTGCTCTTGTGAAAAGTCCTGCAATGAACATACACATGTATGTATCTTTATAATAGAATGATCTATATTTCTTTAGGTGTATACCCTGTAATGGGATTGTTGGGCAAAATGCTATTTCTGGTTCTAAATATTTGAGGAATTGCCACACTGTCTTTCACAATGGTTGAACCAATTTACATTTCCAACAACAGTGTAAAAGCATTCCTATTTCTCCACAGCCTCACCAGCATCTGTTGCTTCTTGACTTTTTAATAATTGCCATTCTGACTGGCATGAGAAGGTATCTTATTGTGGTTTTGATTTGCATTTCTCTAATGATTAGTGATGTTGCGCTTTTAAAAATATGTTTGTTGGCCACATGTAGTTCTTCTTTTGAGAGGTGCCTGTTCATGTCCATTGTCTACTTTTCAATGAAGTTGTTTTTTCATGTAAATTTGCTGAAGTTCTTTGTAGATTCTGAATATTAGACCTTTGTCAGATGGATAGATAGCAGAAATTTTCTACCATTCTGTAGGATGTCTGTTCACTCTGATAATAGTTTCTTTTGCTCTGCAGAAGCTCTTTTGTTTAATTAAATCCCATTTGTCAATTTTTGCTTTTGTGGCCATTGCTTTTGGTGATTTCATCATAAAATCTTTGAACATGCCTATGTCTTGAATGGAATTGCCTAGATTTTCTTCTGGGATTTTTGTAGTTTTGGGTTTTACATTTAAGTCTTCAACCCATCTTGAGTTAATTTTTGTGTAAGTTATAAGGAAGGAATCCAGTTTCAATTTTCTGCATATGGCTACCAGTTTTCCCAGCATCATTTATTAAATGGGGAATCCTTTCCCCATTGCTTGTTTTTGTCAGGTTTTTTGAAGGTCACATGGTTTTAGATGTGCAGCCTTACTTCTGAGTTCTCTATTCTGTTCCATTGGTCTATGTGCCTGTTTTTGTACCAATACCATGCTGTTTTGGTTACTGTAGCCTTGTAGTATAGTTTTAAGTCAGGTAGCCTGATTCCTCCACTTTGTTCTTTCTGCTTAGAATTCTCCGGGCTATATGAGCTCTTTTTTGGATCCACATGAATTTTTAAATAGTGTTTTTCTAATTCTGTGATAAGCTTTTCTTTTTAAATTAATGAATAAAAATTCAAGACATCGCAGAGCCTTGGGTGCTGAGGGGAAAACAGTTTGAGACAGAGAATGGAGACAAAACAGCATCTCTGAGTTTTTCTTGCAAATACCTTTAGTAATAATGTTCTCTTCAATGAGTTAACATGGTCGAGAACATAGAGTAACTAGATCAAATAGTTCCAAGACTTCAGTGCCATAAAAATAATGCCTTGAAAATAAGTCTTTGTTTTGTCTAAGATGTCTCAAATTTAGTGGAAGTATGCCCCTAGCGCCAACTTTATTATTGAATTATCATCTTTTAAAAAATATTTGCCTACACTTAAGAAAAAAAAAAAAAAAAAAACAGCACTGCTCTCTCTATGGAGTAGCCCTTCTTTTGTTTCTTTACTTCTCTAATAAACTTGCTTTCACTTAGAAAACAATTGCCTAATCAGATTGCTCTTCATTTACAAAAATGTGAATTTCATACTTCAGTCAACACATCTAGATGCCAATAACTTTGGTTTGATGCAGTAGCCTGAAATGGTTAACTCAAATTGAGAAATAAGTTTTTGCAAAAACTGGCTGTTCAGTGGGCATTCTATAATAACTTAATATCTTTCTTTCTGCTATTGAATGAGACGTGATAGAAGTGATTTGGACACCACTATGATGGTAAACGGCACTGCTATTATGTGTTTCTAAAGTTTTTTTTTTTTTTTTCAGTCCTAGTTGGTTTTCCATTCATATTTGCTATTCCATCACTGGCTATTCCTTCTACTCTTTTTTATTTCATTTATTTTGATCAATGATACGCATTTCCAACTCTGTAAAAGTTTATTTCAGTTGTATGTGTGGTAAAACGTAACATCAAATCCTTTGCAAGATGGAATTACCTTGCACATCAGATGGAAGATTGTATACTTGAAAATCTAGAGAGATGCCAGTGACCAAGGATCAAATGACCTATTTTTAACCAAGGCCATTTTCATGGCATCCTGGTCCTCTCTGTCACATGGCTCCTTACAATTCTCTGTGGTTTTCTTCCAAATGCAAGTAGTTCTTGCTAAGGATCCTTGCAATGAACTTTGGTATTCTTTTCTCTTTCATTTTTATAAAATGATTGGGGCCATTAGCCACTTGATAGGCAATGCTCTCCTAGTCAGTCTGCCTGTCTGCCTGGTTCCCTCTGAGGGTTTGTGGCTTGACTGGGTTCACCAGCGCCGGCCCCAGCAGGAACAGGGAGAAGTGACTGGGCAAATCCCCCAACAGCAGTGGGATCCCTACACATGAGATGGGGCAAAACCATCATTCTAGTCCCTCCCATACCTGAGACTTCTTGCACATCACAGGTCCCAGGACCAGAGCAGGAAGTAGCTCTGAGTCAGAAATGGTTTCCATGATGGTTAGGATGAGCTGGGAAGAGGGCTCTGAGAAGGGAATGAAAGGGGTCTCGACCTGCAGGTCAAAACTCTGAGCCTGTCCCAGGGTCCAGAACAGCTCCTGCTTGCCAGTTCTGTGAAGGGGTTTCCATCTTATACCCATTTTTACTCATCTCAGTATAAGAGGCCTGAACAGCCCCTTATGCAGCACACAGCACAGCGATTCCTGCTCCTCCCCAGAAGGCACCAGCACAGCCACCCACTTCTAGAAGGTCCCATTCCCCTGAGGCCCGGGGTCCCCATGCTGTGCGTCCTGGGTGTGGTCCGCCCTCCCACAGTCAAATCAGCGTGATCTCTGCTGGGTAGAATCCCTGGGCCCGGCATCTCAAGGTGACCTTCCCATTAGGTCCTGAGTGATGGGCCACAAGTGCTGATGGCTGCTTTGAGGAGAGTCTCAGAGGTGGAAAAAATTTAATGAGAATCCCAGCTCTCGGCCTCCTTGTTAGGGTCGAGAAGAAATTTCAAAATTAAAAAAAGGTGCAGGATAAGCAATTGTCCTAATATCTAGTGCGCTTTTTCTACGCATGTGTCTCATTATCTGGGAAGTCACTATTATGCTTCTGACGTTGATGATATTATTTTTCAGTTTTAAAATTTCTGGGTTTTTTTTCCTAATTTACATGCGGATTTTACAACCTTCTGACAGTCACCAACTATTACATTGTGATATTAGAAACTAGCAATCGTTTGTGGTACTTTCATGCACTGTGTCTCTGCTGTTTCGGTTTCCTGGCATTTTATCTTCTGGTTGTGTTAAAGGTAATCTCTAATTGTTGGGCACAGAAGACTAGGGAAGAGAAAGATCCCCCGGTGAAGTACACCACTACTGACAAACACATCACTGTTGACAAGGGAGAACTGCTGTCCTTTCCTAGTTACCTCCCTGCACTCCTCCTCCCTGTCCCTTCTCCCCACCCACCCTCAGGACAGCCTCAGGAGCCTGGGCACAATCCCCAGACCCACAATAGAAATGCTGAGGAGGAGAAGGAAGTGGCACGATTCGGGCCTCCATCCTTCCTACAGGGACGCCTCCAGGTCACACAATTCCAGCTTCAGGAGATCCTGACGCGCGGCCCCGAGGACTCAGTACCTTCCAGCAGCATCCTCTCTTTGCCAGGCTCCGGGCTTCTGCGCCTAGTGTAGTGACCCATTACGGGTTCCCTTGCAGCCTCCGTGATCCAGACCCTCTCCCAAGTGCGCTTGATCCTCTGAGCCGCAGATCGCTTTGCTGTCCAGGTCTTTACGTCCTGCTTCAGGGACATGAACTATTATTTCCCGTCCTAGGCGGGCTGAAAGTGTCCTCCAAGAAAGTTCCCAACTGGTGCCAGCACGCAGCGGCGCAGCAACTGCAGGTGTGGGACCCTGAACCTCTCCAGGTGTCCGCCCCAGAAAGGGCCAGAATCCCCGCTTCGCCCCACCCGCACCAGCTCCTCCCTCCCACTGTGATTAGTCACAGCAGAAGTCAGTCACCATCCAAATGAAGGAGAGACCTGGAGCAAAACATCCCTAGCGCTTCCCTACCGGTGGGGG